AACAGGCATGAAAATCTTTTTTTTTTCCTACAGCTGATAGTTGAAACCATGAGATCTGACAAGGGAGAGTGTGTAGGAAGGAAAGGCTGTTTCTTTTCTTCCTGCACCCCACCCCACCCCCACCAGCCCTGTTTCCCACCAAGTATTTAGAGGAAAATGCACAAACAGAAGAGGAAGAGCTTATATAGGATAAGAAATGGAATTTTATTGTCTCAAAATGAAAGATAGAAGGAATTTCAACAAGGAGAATTTAAAAAGGAGACATGGGGAAATGGTCAGTAGTGGTGAATCTTCAGAAGGTCTGAGGACAGTGAGGATGGGGAAAAAGGAACTGGTCGCTAATGAAGTGTAAGGGGCAGCAAGCTAACCTGCTCCCTGTGTTGCTGTCAGTGCTTTCTAACTCTAAAGGTTGTATCTGCAAGGATTATGTACAGCCAGTTGAAAAGGAGGAGATAGTGTTAGTTTCTGCCATTTTTTTTCAGGACCTGCTGAACATCAGGCACTGTGCTTGGCACTAATGTGATCCTAAGTAACCATGCAGTTACTATTCCTAATTGGCAGGTACTGTTGCTTTAAGAGGTCAGGTAATTTTCCTGTAGTTGTAAGGTGACGGTGGTAGTTGGGAGTGAAACACAAGACAGGCTGACTCTGAAGCCACTCACAATTGGAAGCCATTTCTGTTACACCTCATGATAGTTTGTCTTTGGTGCTCCAACTTCCTGGTCTGATCTCTGTTCTCTGGAGTTAAATGCCTTTCTAACCTTATTCCTGCCAAAACAGACTCTTAAGAAAGATCTAAAATGGACAGAGTGTGACATTTTGGAAAGAATATTTGTTTTGCAACCCGAAGACCTGGGTAAATCAAACCTTGTCTGTTTAATTTCGTATCTGTGTGGCTCTAGGCAAGCCATTCACTGTAAAATGTGTTTATTCTTTGGGCCTTAGTTTCCTAAGTGGCAAAATGTATTTGAAAGTGGTTATAAACTGTAAAGTGCAATGCAAACATAAAATGTGTTCTTAGTGTGAATTTAAAGCAATGTGTTGCCTTCCATAGAGTTCTTTGCATTTGAGGAATTTTAATTATAATCATTGTACTTTATTCATTGAGCATCATTTCTATGCAGAGGTTTTCCTGGAGAATTATTAGGTGTGTAAGACCTGGAGAAACTTAAAGTAATTCAGGAGAAAGTGTTTCATTTCTTGGAGATGAAACTGAACAATAACAACCGGGAAGAATATACTTTGCCAGTTGGGTAGAAAGACCATTCTCACTGTATCCTATATAACAAGATGAAGGAGAATATTTAGTTCTTAGGGACAAGAGAATGGCTAATACAAAGCACAGTGTCGACAATATTTAACCTGAAACTTTTGCATTCAGAAGCTTCAATTTACCATTTCCATCTCCATCTGTAGTATTTGTACATTTAGCAAAAGATGGGGATTGTGTTCAGCCTCATTCTTCATCTGAGTTACAGCTTACCTTTGGTCAGTAGTTGATTCCTGTTTTTCATGTAAGAAGGAAAATACTATTTATGCCAAGAAGGCAATAATACCATCACAAACAGGAAAGACTATAAAGTGCCATGAGCTTTGGGAGTGAAATTTGCTCTGAAATAGTATTCCCAAGCCTTCTACAGTATTCTGGTAATTCAGTCACTAGCATCATTACTTAGAGGATTGAAAGGGAAGCTCAGTGATATGAATGAGTGAATGATGAATGAATGAATGAACGAACGAACAAACAACTATCAGGAAATAACTAGCCTGAATATAAAAATCACGAACTGAAAAATGCAAAATTGGATTAAACCATTGACCACCTTTATCCCTGCCCTTAGGAATATACCCTTGGGTATTCTACACAATTTGCAGTTTCTACCCCTGTGAGCAGCAGAAAGCTTAGAAACTTAAAACTATCCAAATTAAGAGAACTCACAAGATTCTACACAGTCTGCTGTTCCCAGAAGTTTGACTATTGAGGGGCTGAGTGCCACTGGTCAGGCATCAGTCTTGCAGGTATGGATCAGCCAATAGGAAATTCAGTAGAGCCATATGCAGTAGAGAAATATTGTTAAAAATTGCATTGTCTTCTCTCTCTAATGAACTTTTAAAAAGGAATATGCACTTTGGGAGTTTTGTTGTAAGCTGGATACTTGCCTTAAAGTTCCCTGCACATTCATTGCAATGCAAATGTTATGTACAATAAAAATACATGGGTTTTTCCCCACTAGCTCATTTAATATGATCTTTATTGTACTTTCCTATACCTGAAGGCTGCTTTGATGGGTGGTAAAGTCAATGGGATTGAACAATTTTGGAGTGGGACTAGAAGTAAAACTAGCCAGAGCCCTTGAATCCTGGGTCAGAATGTGGTGATGCTAGGCAAGGCTCAGTTCCAGCAGCTTCATGATCCAAAACATCTGTTTCTATATTTGGCATAATTCCATTTTTTTATTTGTAAAATTGTTCCCATCTTTGAAAACACTTTAAAAAATAAAGAAGTCCCCAGTCTGTCTCCTCTTTCCACTCCCCAACACACATGCATTTTTAATTACCTGGTTTAGTCTATGTGTTTAATCAGCTTAAACAGAGAAGGTTGCCCACATCTGATTTTAATCTGAAGGAGCCATTGAGTACTGGGCAGTTACTACCCTTGTGTCTGCCAAAATGTGCCTCTGCCAGAAAAAGGATAGAACTCACACCAGGGTATTTCCTAAAGAAGCCACTTGACTCAGATTAGATGTTTAATTTCCTTAAAATATTGTTTTGGATCTGGGTCTCTGTTCTCTAATTGGGATTTTCTGATATAATAAGGAATTTTACTTATTTGCTGAATTTGTTCCGAGATCCAGCTGGTCTTACTCTAAATGCCTAAACCTCAAGGAAGTAAACTTAACCCTGACTGCCAAGTGTCATACCTCATTGCTCTGAAGGATGGCCACGCTTGTGTTTGCTCGTGTCTTTACATGGCCATTACATATGAAATGCTATTGAATTAATTTTGAGAGAGAAAGGGTTCTAGTTGTGGTAATGATGCCTCTGATAAGAGGTACACATTTTTTGAGATTTTTCTAGTTAAATTTAATAGTAGAAAAAAACTACTTTGTTTCTACTACTATTAATTTTTATTTCATTTTTATTTATCATATTAACATATAAACCACATTTCTAGATTTTCTCACCTATGTTCACTTAAAACACCTCCCGTTGACCAATCTAAGATCTTAAGGTTTTTTTTCTTCACTGTCCATTGGATGAATAAGCTAGAACTGAGCTTCTAAATGTTTTTAACCAGTCCTTGAATTTACATACAGACTTCCAGCACTTGAAAGACTCTGGGAACCCTTTTATTTATTAGCAAATCAGACTGCTAAAAATTCCATTGTGTATTTTGTACATTGATAAATCCACACATGCCAGGGTGATGGGCTGACATTTCATGGGGTATTTTTAATAGGCTCAGGACTTAAGCCACATAGCCAGCATGCTAAAAACAAAACAAATGCAGGGAACCCAGTAGGGGAGATTTTTTAATCCATATATATCAAGGCTTTAAAAAATGTAATTGTGACAACCACATAAGGTCAGCTGGTTGAGGCTACCAGACTGTCGTCAGAAGTTTGTTTTGCAAGAAAATAATCAAAACCAAGAAAGATAAAGAATATAAAGATGAATGACATGAAGCTAAGCTCACTTGATCACTTGATACAGCATTTCACAAAGGGAATGGTCTTATCAGAGAAAAGTCGCTTCCTGGCTTTGTCTCCTTCTGGAAGGGCTCCTGAAGTTACGGTCATTTGCGTCTTCCTCGACCCTCCTTCCTTCCTAGGATCTATCCCAGACAACATGCTCTTCTGCCTCGAATATGTGTGTGCTGATATATTTATCTCAAAGTTTAAGTCTCAGAAGCAACCTCATTTCTTCTAATTACTGGAGATCAGCAGTGGTCTTGCTAGGGTCCGAATTTTTAGTTTTCTCTATGTTTCTGACCCTCAAAGTTGCTGAGGCTCACATGAGCTGCAGAAGAACTCCATCAGCTGGAAAGCACTGGATGCAAATAGAATTTTTACTGAGTTTTAGTGTTTCTAGTTTTCAAAGCCATATTAGGTGTAATCTGATATATACATTTCACAAATCCTTATTCAGTGCCTACTATATGTCAGGTACTATTCTGGGAGTTTAGAATGTATCAGCTCCATGGAGCTGAAGGAAAGGGGATTATTCTGAGATCGACCCTCCTCCCCGGGACACCGGGTCACTGACTGCATGGGAAGAACACAGAGAGGTCCTAGCACCTTGCCGCCCCCTGTAGCCTGTGACGACGGAGCAGGGAATAGAATCCTCTGTCTGCTCTGTCACGTTTCTGGGGAGTCTGGTATCAGGTTCACATAGTATCTTTGTGATTCCTCTTAGTTTTTAGAAAGAAGAAACTTCTGTCAGGAGTGATACATTTGTGTCTGACCATGGTGGTTATTGGTATTAGAAGGGAAAAAAATCAGAGCATAGTATGGGTGAATAGAGAATTTAGATGTGAAGATCACCAAGTCTAAAAAGGAAGAGATTTTATAGTGGAAATGGAAAGCAGCCTCAACTAGTGTGTTAGAAGTCATTATAGTTAGCAAAAAAGTTTGGGCAGTCATCACCAAAACCTCCATCTACACAGACACACAGACACACACACACACACA